CCCCACAGAAGTCCCTTCCAACCCCGAACATCCTGTGATTCTGTGGCTAGGGCCTTTCTAGGTCTGAGATGGGTTTAAACTCTGGAGAAAATGAGGTTCCTCACACCTGCCACGGCATCTGCAGGAGGAAGCTGGGAGCTGTCAGCAGGGTCCCTGCCACACTGTCTAGGCTGACCTGGGGCTGCAGGCTGCCACTACGATTTGCTTTACGCAAACATCTAGTCACTTCAGCCTAGCTCCAAGTGAGGAGCCATGACTGGGATTTGCTTTTTCCCTTGGTCCGAGCACAAAGCTGCCTGTTGTCACAAATGATCCTTGCAAGAGCCTGCAGCACCTTGATCCAATGTGAGTGGGAGGTCTAGGTGAGCTTTCAGAGCCAGGCCTGGTGGTGACGCTTTCCCCCTGCCTTTAACACGCAGGGGACGGTAAGAGGGGCTGCAGCCACGGTGACAGAAGGGGACGTGACACTCAACACAACGGTGGCTTGTCAATGGCCAGAACGAGAAAGCTCAGGGCTTCTTACAAACACAAGTTTGGCAGAATCCATCCTGCAGCCCCACCTTAGCCAAGCAAGGGAGAGATGTCCGGTGCAGGAGAGGCCACAAAACCTCTGCTCCACACTCTACACAGGCCATGAAACACTTCCCACTCCCACCGACAGCACAGAGCCACAGACAAGCAGACCCGCTTCTCTACTACGAGGCCCATCAGAGACCCCGTTCATGATGGTGCCCGAAACCTGGAGGGCATTAGCAGCCCTGCCAGGTCTGACACCACAACATTATAGACAGGGGGATCAAACACCCACCTGGGGAGCAGATTCCTCCTCCTTCCAGGGAAACAGGTCACTGCTGCTGCAAAAGGGATGTGCTTTCTTCTTTCTTGCTCCTAAGGTTCTCCAAGGTTGGGCCTCAGCCCCAAGTCGGATGAAGCAGGACAGCTAATAAGGAAGCCGGGGTTGCTCTGTCCGGGGCAGACATAGCAGGGTCTCTTGTGAAATTTCCATCACCATGTGAACGTGACGGCAACCATGCACGGTGCCAAGGTCCTACCAAAAACCTGGTTTGAAGGTGAGGAGTTTGCCCAAGCAGGGAGAGGGGAAGGTCTTCGCTTCAGAACTGCCCAAGTGTGTTTGCAGGGCTGAAGGTTAGGAAAGACACTTCCCCGAAGGACAGCAAAGCTGGAGGTGCCAAGAGCCTTGTGCTCTCCAAGGACCTACCAGAACAAGTGGGTCACAAGCAGCATGGCACTCTAGAACACATCCCCAGGACACGGCAGCATGGTGGCCACCGGTGAGTTACCTTTGCTGGAGGCTACAGCCCCTCTAAGCGCACCCCAAAGGGGACAGCGGGGAAAAAGCAGTCTTAGGCTTCTGAAACGTGGGTCCTCCCTGTGACACAGCTGTGCCTTCATGTAAGTGGACACTTCCAAGGGCATCCACCCGTCAGTAGGCTGATGCCAGCCCAGCCCCTTGCATCCAGATCTTTCAGACATGAATAGAACTTCACGGGATAGCGGGAGGTGTTGGGCACAACTGGCATACTGCCTTGATGTCCTGGGTGGGTGGGGTGGGGGTCTGCAGTGATTGTCACAACCTGCCCCCAGCCTGACGGTGCCTGCTAATTTGGGAGAATTTGCTACCGGAACCTGAGCAAGAGGACTCAGAGGGCACCGGCGTGGTGGGGCTGGAGCAGCAGCACCAGCACGTGGTTCCTCTCTGTGACAGCAGGATTATACCTGCTGTCTGGGTAAGGTGGAGGAGCACACCCCGTCCCTTCCACTCACAGCATCTCCTTTCTCCTGCCCCATGGATGCCACCACATTCGTGCCCAGCCTCCACGAACCACATACCTTTGCTATTTAGGAAGCTCCATTCCAATTTTCCAGCCTCTGCGTCCAGCTGAACCTGGTGCTTCCCAAACACCCTGTGCCACCCACCCAGAGCACATAGGTGCACTGGGACCCAAATTTCACAGACTGTCCCAGGTCCAAATCCTCCTGTGTGTGCACAGGACAAGCCCATACCACACAAAGTCCCTCCCAAAACTCATCCTTTGTTTCGCATTTATATCACACTTGGCAAAACAAAGCCCAGGCAACTTTCTCTTCTCCCCCTTGTAGCAACCATAGCTTCCAAGGACATAGGGCTGCTGCTGAGAGATGACGTTTTTGTCTACTTTTTCAACACGTTCCTGAATCTTCCTGTAAGTCCACTCCGCAACATAAAGCCCGGGACCTTACTGAGCTCTTCCCAGGTGAAATTTCAGCTTCTGTGGTGTTGAAGGCCCCAGGAAGACTGGGAATACACCACACCCAGGCTGGAAAATGAGGGAAGCCTGAGGACCTCAGCTTGGAGATAGAGGTCTGAAAGGGAAGATGATGCCCTTTTCCATAGTGAGGACTAACTAGACCAGCTGGGCTCTGGGATCCCCTGCCACCTTCCATCTCCTTCAGCTCTCCCTTTCCTTTCGACACAGGTTTTTGGCCAGACACCCATTTACATCAGCAGCATGGGCCGGTGGGACCTCTGACCAGAGCTGCTGGGCCACATGGTGAGATAATGCCCCGTGCAAGGAGGGTGAGGAGGAGGCAGGAAGGGCGCAGGGGAGGGAAGGAGCTGGTTTCTCATTGCCCAGGCCACTCTCTGGCTCTCCTGTTCATGCAGCCAGGCGATTATTTCAAATCCAGGTGTCATTTTGCTTTTAAGCCCTGGGAGGAGCAGAAGCCATTTAAAGTCCTGGTGCGTGGGCAGCTTATGGGATGCGTCCAGCCACCCTCAGTAAACATCGACAGCAGGAGTTAGGGAGTGCGCGTGTGGTGGCAGAGAAGGAGCACACAAACGTCAGCCCCTCGTGTCCTGTATTCCTCCTGAATTCACCAGGAGTGAAGTCATGTTGCTCCTCAAAAACTGGCTCAGCCCTCCCCACTGACGTCTCCCTTCCCCACAGCCACGAGGGCCGTTTGCGGTGCTCAGACCCCGTAGCAAAAGGGAACCTTGCTCCTCTCGGAGCTGCCGGAAAGCTGCCGTGCCTTCCTGCCTGGGCTCTGGGAAAGCAGGCAGGCTGCGAGGAGAGGCAGCCTTGCAGGCAGCCGCACAGCGCTGGGTCTCCCAGGTTTGCAGGGAGAGCTTGGGGGGATGCAAGCAGGGGCTACAGCTCGAGTATCCCCCTTCTTTCTCAGCACAGGGATGGTGTGCATCGCTGTCTAGCAATAGGGCACCTTCCCCTGCCTCCTTCCCCGGTCGCAGAGGCCCGTACTCACCCTAATCCCCAGGCGAGAGACAGCTCCTTGCTCACAGCCTAATCCTCTCCTTGGGCGCCAGGGCTGCGACACAGGATCCCAGCCCCTCGACTTTACTGGCTTGGCTGGAAAAGCACCCCCTGCCTCACTTCTGCAAATCCAGCCTGTGCCTCCACCTCATCCTCTGCCAGAAGCTCCTGGGTTTCATTCGGCCGGGGGAAGCAGGTGAGTCATCACGGCACGGAGGAAATCGGAGCGGCTTCGCCACCGCAGCAGGGCTTCCTCTCGCTGGGGCTGTCACTGCCTGGTGCCTGCCCAGTGGGTCGTGCCTCTGCTCCGGGTTTAAAAGG